CACCGTCACCGTTAGGTTGTGCTGGGTTTTCAGCCTGGGGGTTCCCAAGTCGGTGACGGTGATGGTGATGTTGTACTCGGCCTGGCTCTCTCTATCTAGGGGGCTCTCTGTTACCAGGGTGTAGAAATTCTTAAAGGTAGGCTTCAAGAGAAAAGGGAGGTCATCCTGAATGGAGCACACCATCCTCCCGTTGTCCCCAGCATCTAGGTCTCGTACGCTAAAAACAGCGACCACCATTTCAGGTGACGAATTTTCAGGTATGGGGCTAGTCAGAGATGTCATGACTATTTCTGGTGCGTTGTCATTCACATCCACAACCTGAACTAAAATTGCTGATTTTCCGGAAAGGCTACCCCCATCAATGGCCTGGATATTTATTGTATATGACTGAATTAACTCGAAATCCAGAAGCGCTTTTAAATGGATTTCACCAGAAACTGGATGGATTTCAAATGTTTTCCGAATGTCTGTGGAGACGTGAGAAAATGAGTAGGATAATTCTCCATATATTCCCGCATCCAAATCTGTAGCAGACACCCTGATGACCAAGGAGTCCACAGGACTGTTTTCTGGTACCTGAACCTCATAGACAGGCCTTTCGAACTCTGGAGCATTGTCATTGATATCTAAAACCAAAACACGAACCAGTGTAGTTCCAGACCTGGGCGGAGACCCACCATCCAAGGCTGTTAGCGTTAATCTAAACTCGGGCTCCTTTTCCCGATCCAGAGGTTGGTCCAGTAACAGCTCTGGGAAGTTTCTGCCATCATCACTGTCTTGTAATTTAAGGTGGAAATAAGGATTGGGACTTAATGTGTAGTTTTGGACACCATTCTTTCCTACATCCAAGTCCTGAGCACTGTCCATTTGGAATGAGGTTCCTGGAGCAGTAGCTTCTGAGATTTTCAGAATTATTTGCTTGTCTAGGAAAGTAGGGGTATGATCATTTATGTCTTTAACCCAAAGTTCAGCCCGAAAAAATTGTAAAGGATTTTCAAATAATACCTGGAAATGCAATATACATGGCTCTGTGAAATGGCAAAGTGCCTCCCGGTCCAGTTGCTTATTTAAGAGCAAGTTGCCAGTCTGTGGATCCAATTGTAAATATGGTTTATAGTCGTCAAAGATGACTCTCGCCCCCCGTGCAACCAAGTCTTCCACAGCCAAACCTATTTCTTTCACCACATTGGCTATAACAGAGCCGATCTCCATTTCCTCTGCCACAGAATAGTGCCAGGGCTCTGAACACACCAAAGACCCTCCCAGGAAAACAAAGAAAAGCAGCACTTGCCTTATCTGCTGAGGGTGCCTCTCTCCTGGTTCCATGGCTCCTTAGCCAAATGTGTTTCTGCGGAATTGTTTCAACTCAGTAGCAAACAGCTCCTAAATTGCGCCTCTCATCTATCATGCGGGACCACTGGGAATCTTTAGTTTTGTAATCCTGTCACGGATTACAGAGTGTTGTTGGCTCCCTAGCTTTCTCTTGAAAGCCTCTTTTCCCCTTCTTTCTTCTCCTGTGCTCTCAGTTACACTGATTAAGGGAGACCAAAGCATTGGATGGTATGAAAAAGTCCCCATCTTATCCTGCAGCGCCACCATGTGACTCTGCTGCTTCTCAGGTTTTAAACAGATAAGTTTGAGACAAAATACTAATTTACGTTGTGTGTTTGTTGATTAACTTAAATTACATTCTCTCCTATATTCTTATTTTCCGAGTTACATTCTCAGTAATATGTGATGCTATTATTATTCAGTCTTTAACACAATAAATCACAACCTGTTAGAGCTGTGGTGAATATAAAAATCATGTTTAAGATATAGCCCCAACTTCAAATAAATTATGACCTCTCTTTGAAGACCATATATAAAACAACTAAAAATACTTAAAGGGACTCTTTCACATAATTGACGTTATGAGCAAAATATTGCCAGGAAATTGGAAAAGGGAACCAGAGATTTTAGTCTTGTCTAGCTATCAGCAAATACTCCTAGAAAAGACAATAAGGTCATGCATTTTTAACTGAACCTAGTATATGAAAATAGTTGTTTTGGGGTGACTGGACATTTCAAGCTGAGTAAATGGTACCATTTACTTAAGGACACTCCATGAGAGACTTACCTGGCAGAAATAGAAAGTAAATGCTCAATAGTAGTGAATAAAACAAGATATGTCCAGAAAATTGAACAAACTAGATACCAGTTTAGTTGTGGAAAATAAATCTATTTTGCAGACCCAGGCCTTCCAGCGGCATCATCATAAATATTTTATTCATCCACTCATTACCTGTCTAGCAAATATTTATTGATCATATACTTTGTGTTAGGAATGGTAGTGTTAGGGATAGAGTGGTAAGCAGTTTCTGTCCTGAGAGATGGAGGCAGAAAAGGGATTACATATTTAAAAATAGAACATAATGAGGGGTGCCTGGATGCCTCAGTCAGTTAAGCATACAACTCTGGATTTTGGCTTAAGACAGGATCTCAGGGTCATGAGATCCAACCCTGAGTCTGCTCCATGCTGAGCATGGAGCTTGCTTAAGATTCTCTCCCTCGGTCCTCCTTTGCCCCTGCCCCCCCAAAATAAAAATAAATTAAAACTTTTAAAAATGGAACATAATTAATACTATGATAGCAAAAGATCATGCTATTCTAAGAGCATAGATAAGGGTCATCTAACCAGAATTTGGAAGTACAGAAAAGACTTTTCTGGAACAAAAACTGGGTGTTGGGTAAAATTTCCAGATAATCCCAAAATATGATTGTGAAAATTTGAGATGAGAGAGGTGTTTTTGGAAGAACTGAAATAGGAAAAATATGGCTGAGTCATAGAGCAAGAGGAAAGAAATAAGAACTGGGATTGGAGAGATAAGCAAATAATTATGTAAGGCCTTCCAAGGCATTTGGGACTCTACATCAATGAAAATGCAAGATGATTAAAGGCTTTTAGATAGAAAAGGAGATGACATTGACCTCAACTAGAAATGCAATAATAAGCTTATATTAAAATGATAAAGATACAGGATGTGATGACAGATTAGACATGGAGGGAGTGGAATAAGAAGTGAAAAGAGGGGCACCTGGGTGGCTCGGTTGGCCATCATTCATGATCCCCGGGTCCCGTGATGGAGCTCTGCGTCGAGTCCCCCATTGAGCCCAGCACTGAGCCCTGCATCTGGCTCCCTGCTCAGCAGGGAGCCTGCTTCCCCGTCTCTCTCTGCCTGCCTCTCTGCCTGCTTATGATCTCTCTCTCTGTGTCAAATAAATAAAATCTTTAAAAAAGAAGTTATATTTGAGAAATCAAATGTCTTTATACCACTTCTCTCCTATGATCTTAATTTAAAAAGCCAAACTGGTATCTATCATCTGATTCTCCCATTTGATATTCTTGCAAAGACTATTTAGGCAGGAAGATTTTCTAATTTCTTTTAGCATATCGAAGATATCTTCTAATGTCCAGTGCTACTGTTGAGAAATTCATATGGAACATAGCTGTTTGTCTAACTGCCATGTGTTTCAAGATTACATGTCTTTTTCCTATGTCTTTCCATTTAAAAAAATATATTTTTCTTTGTTTTTGGCTTTTTGAAACTACACAATGATGTTTCCAAGCATGGTTATCTTTTATTTATCCTGTTACATGTGTGTGAGTGTGTGGGTATATATATGTATTTTTTAAGTAGGCTCCACACCCAACATGGGCTTGAACTCATGACCCTAAGATTAAGAGTCACATGCTCCACCAACTGAGCTAGCCAGGTGACACTCCAATATTTTTCAAATATTGCTGTGGATCCTGTCTTAAACTTTTTACTCTGTCCTGTTTCTAAACATCTCTTCCATATTTTTCATCTTCCAAACTCTGAGCTGTATGCTAGATAAATTACATTCTGACCTTTCACTTCACAAATTATTTATTCATTTATACCTACTTTCCTATTAACTTGTTATTCAATTTCAATTAAATTTAAATTATGTTTATATTTTTTAGTTCCAGGAGTTCTATTCGGTTCTTTAATAATCTATCACATTTCTTATTATCTTTACATCTTTAAGCGTAACTTTTATTTCAATAAAGTGTTTAGCATATTATTAGATTATCTCTACTAATTAAAATATTTGAAGTATATTTCTGTATTCTGTTTTTTTTCTGCTGGCTCTCACTCATGGTGTCATGTTTCCTCGTGTGTGCAGTTATCTCTGTGTTCAAGTTAAGAATATGAAACTTACTTACATGAATATTTTTAGCCTTAGGATGAACTTTCTTTTATAGAATGTCTGCATTTGGTTCCATCAGCATCTGGAACCACTGCTTGGTCAACAACCATGTTAAATCAAGTTCTGTGCTAAAAAATCAAATTCAGAGCTGAAATTCCACATAAGGGTTTGTCCATTTCCCACTTACTTTCACTTTAAAGGTGTAGTTCTTAGGAATCCATGTTTATTAATGCAAGGGTCTTCTATGAACTTTACTTTGTTATGCTTTGATCTCCTCCCTTATTATAAAAACCATCAAAATAGAGGTTTACACTTCCCAGGTCTCCAAATATTCCAGGGAAAAAGTAGATTTTAAGATCATTTGTCTCTCTGGGTTACCATCCGACATTAACTGTAACCTGATAATATATTAGTCTCTTACTAGCTAATTGTTTTCAGTGGAAGCATTGGTCTACGTAATCTGTACCATCCTTACTAAAAATAAGACTCAATGGCACTTGTCTCAAAATTACAAGTAAACTTTTAGCTTCCTGGAGTATGGGCAATTGACCTCAAGAAGATAGATAAATAATATGCATTTTTTACCAACTTCAACTGATCAATACTAAATCAATCCTTATAATGCTGCAATCAACTTAATCTCTTGGAAGAGACAATTTCTGTCATTGACATAGGTATAGCTCATACTTCTCTCTGCATTCTTTATCCCCTATATATAAACACATCTTCTCTCCTACATCTGTTCCTTTTTCTCTCCTTCCAATATGTTTATTTATATAATTGTACAAATATATTATTTATTATAAGGACATATATAGCACTGTACTATAAATCTCAGTATCTTTCTTTCTTTTGACCATTTAGGATTTATCCATGTTGTTTTATATACACCTAGTTCACACCTTTTGATAATACTTCATAATATGCCTTCAGAAACATTTTCCACATTTGAGTTATCAGTTGCTTTACTGATGGATATGTGGGGTTGACTCCTATTCTTTGCTTTGCCAAGATGAACATTCTTATGCATATCATTTGTGAAAGAAACTTTTTGGCTTATACACTTAAAACTAATATAACATTGTGTGTCAATTATACTTCAATTAAAAAAAAATTTTTCTGGCTTATATACCCCGAAGTAGAATTGCTGGATCACAGGGTATGTTCACTCTAAATTTCACTAAATACCATTAAAAATCTCTCAAAGGGCTGTACAGGTTATTTCCTACTGTTCCCCTTGATATTATGCAAATTTTCATCTCTACTAATGCTATGGGTATAAAGTAGTGTCTTGTTTTAGTATGTATTTCACCAACTAATGAGGTCAATCATCATTTTATGTTCTTTTCAGACTTCATTTCCCCTTTTTTCACTTTTCTTTCCTTTTTATCCTTTAAAAAAAAACCTTACTGGCTCTCTGACTTTTTTTTTTAAGATTTTATTTATTTATTTGACAGAGAGAGATCACAAGTAGACAGAGAGACAGGCAGAGAGAGAGAGAGAGAGGGAAGCAGGCTCCCTGCCGAGCAGAGAGCCCGATGCAGGACTCGATCCCAGGACCCTGAGATCATGACCTGGGCCGAAGGCAGCGGCTTTACCCACTGAGCCACCCAGGCGCCCCGGCTCTCTGACTTTTTGATTTTTGGCGCCCCGGCTCTCTGACTTTTTGATTTTTGTTACTCTGCTGCAGTTACTTGAATAATCTGAATATTAATCCCTCTCAGGCAACTGCTGCAAATAGCTTCTCCCTGCCTTTTGGCTTGCCTATGCTATCTTCTGGTTTTGATGTAGTACTACTTGTCAATTTTTATTTATTGTTTCTACTTTTAAAGACTTGTTTAAGAAATTCAAACTGATTGGGGTGCCTGGGTTGCTCAGTTGGTTAAGCAACTGCCTTGGGCTCAGGTCATGATCCTGGAGTCCTGGGATCTAGTCCCACATCAGACTCCCTGCTCAGCAGGTAGTCTGCTTCTCCCCCTGACCTCTCTCCTCTCATGCTCTCCTGTCTCCCAAATAAATAAATAAAATCTTCAAAGAAAAAGAAATTCAAACTGATAGTAAGTTTATAAAGATATTTTTATCTAGGTTTTCTCAATTAAAATACTTTAACTTCACCTGTAGATCCATAGAAAGTTTATTTTTATATGGCATGAAATGAGGATTTTCTTTATTATAGAGAGCCAATTTTCCTGGTAACATTTGCTAAGTGATATGTCTTGCCCCTAAGCCCAGTGATTTTGACACCTCCTCTATCACAACCACATTCTCTTATATAAGAGATTTGATCTTGTAGACTTACAAGTCTCTTCTTAAATTATTCAAATAGGATATTCTATTTTTATCTATTCTTTTCTGAAAAGGCTTATTTTAGAGAGAGAGAGCACGAGCATGGAGGGGCTGAGGGAGAAAGGGGAGAGGGAGAGGGATAGAATATTCAAGCAGATATCCTGCTGAGCATGGAGCCTGACATGGGGCTTCATCCCTGGACCCTGAGATCATGATCTGAACTGAAATCAAGAGTCTGAGGCCCAACCAACTGAGCTACCCAGGTGCCCCCCTCCATTCTTCTTCTCCTTCTCTTTCTTTCTTTCTTTCTTTCTTTCTCTCTCTCTCTCTCTCTCTCTTTCTTCTTCTTCTTCTTCTTCTTCTTCTTCTTCTTCTTCTTCTTTTTTTAAGATTTTATTTATTTATTTGACAGAGAGAGAGAGAGAGAGATCACAAGTAGGCAGGGAGACAGGCAGAGAAAGAGAGGGGAAGCAGGCTCCCCACTGAACAGAGAGATGTGGGGCTTGATTCCAGGGCCCTGAGATCATGACCTGAGCTGAAGGCAGAGGTTTAACCCACTGAGCCACCCAGGGGTTCCGGTGCCCCCTGTTCTTATCTATTCTTATTAGTGCATAAGAAGTGTAAGATTTACTTCTCATGAGTCTGAGGGAGTAAGAGGGCCCAAACATTCTTTTTCAAGATTTTATTGTGTAAAAAACTATTTATATTAAATTCTCACAGCCAGTAAATATCTACTGCAACACAAAATAAAACCAGTAAAAATTTCATGAAGGAAAGAAAAAAGATTCCTAGGGAAATTGGAATTTGCTGCATTCATTTCTCAATGTCAAATTCTATTTTATTATGCCATCTAGCCTATAATATATAATTTTACGAGGAAAAATTACAAAAATGTAAGGCCCACTAGTTCTATATCCACACTACATAATAGCTATGAAAATCTCTACCTATAATCTTCCATCAAACTGTTTACTTATATAGTAGAGACATGATATGTAACACTATAAGACATCTATAAACCATAAATACAGACCCATTCCTTCTTTTGGATATCAGAGAGAGGACACAAAGTATTAAGAATTACAAATCAATGCAAAAATGAACCTAATTCATTTCTTTAACATTTTGAATTTTCATTTCAATTTAAGAAGTTTTTACATGTACTCTTCTGGTGGAAAGTTATTTTACTCAGAATGACACCAGGAACTGCATCCTAGTTAAGTCATGAACAATATAAAATAATAGAAATTTAAACTAGCAAACATGGTATTGAGGAAAACAAAACAGCCATATCTAGACCCACAGCATCATAAAGCTCCTTCCCCACAAAGCGTAACAACAACAACAACAAAGGAAAATTACTTCAGAAATCAATAATTTTCAATGTGATCACTTGTAATTTGTCACAAAGTGAATTTCTGGAAAACACTACATGGCCAAAAGCGAGCAAATATGGTATCCTAGTACTAAATAGGGAGAGGTATCTTTTCTTTACTTTATGATGAAAGTGTGTGAAGTGAGTAGTGCAACAAAATCCAATATACTTCCAACCAGATCCAACAACATTTTTTATTTATCCAAAGCTTTCTGCTTTGATAAAATACCTAGAAGTAAGTTACATATATTGTGGAATTAGCTCTTAATACTTCAGTTTGTAACTCCAAATTAGTAACATTGTCTTGCATAACAATGCCATATCACAAAAAAATTAGCAACAACTCTGTTAATATAACATTTTTGACCAAACAATTAAAAAAAAAAAAACCAGACAACACACAGATTATATTTCCACTTCATTAGGGCCGCTAATAAAGATTTATGAGGAGAGCTTGAGAAATGATAATGCATGCAACTATACTACAGCCTAATATCCATTACAGATTGGCAAAAAGGTATCCACACGTTGTCAAGAATAACAAAAAATTCAAAGTTTAAATGAATTATTTTATTGAATGTTGAATCCAAAACTATTCCTAACGTTCTCATTTCCCTCTATATTTCTACCAGTGTGAGGGACTGGAAGGCTGGGGATAATCGGCTTCAAGAACTTGAACTCACCGGTCGCTGAAAACTCCCGTCAGACACACGTCATACTGGTAGCTGTGGGACAGGGTCCCATCGCCGCTGACGTCCAC